ACCAGCTAGCATTGCTGAGTGGTTTAACTTTTCCATGAAGCTGTCAATTACCTGATGGTTATAACTGGGTAAGGAGGACACCAGCCTCCTTCGAAATTCACCCTAAAGTAGTAAGCCTGGCAAGCAACCTCTGGCTTTGGAGTTAGCAGACCCCTGTGGTCTGTGTCTTGCTTAGGTCCCTGGGTGAAGGGGCAATGTCCGAGACCTTACGTCACCTTGCCTGCTGGCAGCCAAATGCAGCTGTCTCTTCTGTTGCAGCCCAGGCCCAGGCTGTATGAAGCCAAGGCCTTGGGCAGGAGGCTCTGGGCTCTCCTTGAATGACAGTGTTTTGAAGCAAGAGGAAGGGCCCAGTGAAATTCTACTAGCCAGTCACAAGAGCGGATGAGCCCCCTCATGGTCACTGGGGGCTTGACAAGGCTCCAGGATACAAAGGGTTCAAAGACCAGGGTTGCATGTCACCAGACTGTGAGATAAAGACCATCTCTGCTGTTCAGAGGAAAGAGCCCTCCCACACAACTCAGCCCCATCCTGGCTGCTCTGGCACTGGGGAACGGGCAGTCACCAAACATCCCAGGGACCACAGGCCCATCTCAGAGCACACGCACTATCAGACCCATGTCTGCTAATGCCATTCTGCTATGGATGGAACCCAGCCCCCACCTTTACCCAATCCAGATCCTCAAGTCTCTTCCCCTCCCAGGCCCTGCCCCTTCCCCTCTCCCCATCTGCTGCCTATGGACTATGGCAGGGCTGCCCAACTAGCATGTAGCCTGTAAGGTGATAACTTAGTGTCATCCCCCCCCCCACACACACATTCCCTGACCCCTAGCCCAGGCTCCTGGGCCTGGGGTGGGCAGGGAAGAGAAGAAAGGCATCTTTAAGATACTCCTCCCTCCTTCAGGTTCTCCCTGGGACAGTGTGGTCCTAGGGAGTCTGCAGGGCTATAGGATGATGGAGTGCCCATGTAGCATAGCACAGCATGAGGGATGGGGCACAGCTACAGTGCGTGGTGTGCAGCCCTGGGGGTATGCAGCCCCTGGATGCTCAAAAGCTGAATAGCCCTGGGCCAGGATAAGGCAGCCTGTATTTGTCACATCCTGCAGCTACTGAGCTCAGTTCAGCTAAAGGAAAAGAGGCAGGGGTAAAAACAGCTGTGGGAAGCCAGATAGCCTCAGCTCCCCACAGCATGAAAGGGGGAAAGCAGATCTACAAAATAAACCAGCCAACCATGCAGATGTGGGCATCTCCAGGCCCTGCCCTACCCCCGCCTAGAGATCATGTCCAAAAAGACCCGATACAGACCCAGAAAGTCCACTGGGGAAGGGGAGCCAGCTCAGCCCTCCATAGGCCAGATGAGCAAGAGAAGGGTCGACTGCAGCACATGTCCAAGCTGCTGTTTAAGTTAAAATGTTTCTACTGTCCTATTCCTTGCCCCGTGATCCAGGCAGAATGCAAAAGCCCCCCACCCCCCACCCCTCAAATAGTCACAGTTCCATGTTCCGCAAAGTTTTCCCTTTGATTTGTTCCTCAGGCCCTTTCCTCCCCTCCTCCTCCCCTCTTCCAGAGGCCCCGCAATCCACTTCAGCTCTGTCATTGCCTGCTGGGTCCTTTTCCTGTTGGAGCGTGCCTCTTTGCTGATGCCCAGTGCTAGGCAGATGCTCTCATGCCGGCCGCACACCAGTGGCTCAGAGTCCACAAGCTACTGTACCAGGGAGCAGGAAGGGCAGCAGTGCCAAGTTGGAGTCCATCAGCCCACTGATTGAAGACACCCTGCTTCTACCATGAGGCAGAGGCCCCTCTCTTCCCCCCAATGCGCGCACGCACACACACACACACACCCCCCCACTGCCCTGCATCAGCCTTGGGCTAAGCAGTTAATCCAGCCAGGCAGCTCATATGAATGGCTGAGGCCCCGCTGGTCTCAGGAGGCACAGGACAAACACAAGACTGAGTGTGCACACAGACACCTGCCCACAACTGCAGCTCCTGACCCCAGAGGCAGGGAGGAGGCAGTGTGCAAAACATACAAAGAACTGAGGGAGGGACAGGCCCAGGGTGGGGGAGAGGAGGGAGAGAGAAAGGCAGTCTCTCCAGAGTCTTGTTGAGTCCCTGGTGCATGTGGAAGGAGGAGTCCTGGTCTCTGAGACATGGGCAGCCACAGGTGCCACATTGGCATCCAGCCCACCACCAGGCCGAATCTGCCTGGAGACAACGCCTCCCATGGTGCAGTCTTTCCACTGTGGCTGGTGGGGCTGGAGCGAGTGGAGGGTGGGTGCCCGCTCACATCATGATGTGCCGCCGGCGGTGCAGGGCCAGGTGGTCTGAGCGCGAGAAGCTGCGGTCACAGTCCGAGCAGCGGAAGGGCTTGATACCCGTGTGCTTGCGGAAGTGCCGGGTGAGCTCGTCGGAGCGGGCGAACTTCCAGGTGCAGCCTTCCCAGGTACATTTGTAAGGCTTCTCTCCTGCAAGGGACAAAGGAGGGCTCAATGCTCGGGCACACACCACTATTAGCATTAACTTTATTAATTCTATTATGATAGCAACAACTGGCTGTCATTGAAATCAAGTAGTATTACACTTAGTGGGTGCAATATCCACAGGCTTTAACCAAGACCAGGCATCACTGCTTATTAGGTACATTATGGTTGTACCTACAGCCCCTAACCCTAGACCAGCTATTGCCTTCAGGTGTCCTTAGAGCAAGGGTGTCAAACTCAGCTGTCCTCACAGGTTGAATGAGTCACATAGGGCCAGTCCATAGACTGGATCCCTAGCATGGACCAGCATCATCTGGTCTGCAGAGCCAGAAATTTGGCAGCACTAGCGTTTGTTGCTGTGACTCTTTCTGCCACCAAGTTTCCAGTTCCACAGGCCAAATAATACAGCTCTCTGCACTCGGGATCCTACCTGTGGGGCTGGAATTTGGCGACAGAATGAAAGGCAGCAGCATTCACTGCCACAACTTCAGAAACCGTACCAACTACTGCTGCCACCTCTTGTCCAGCTGGAAAATTTCCAACTCTGTGGGCCGGATGAAACAGCTCAGCAGGCCGGAACTTTGTCACCCCCGCCCTAGACGCTACTGTAATATACCTAGTAAGAAAATATGCCTGGCCAGGGTTAAGGGCTGTAGGTACTACACCATGACCTACCATTTCTAATACAGGGTATTATGGTAGCATCAAGATCTGGCATTGACATTTTATGTTCTGGTAGAGCCTACAGACCAAGATCAGCATCCCATTGTGCTGGGCTTTTCCGAAGGAAAATGCAGACCCAGCATCTTCCCAGGCTTTGTTAGAGGCCCTGGAGGAGGGATAAAGGATGCTTAGTGTGGCCATGCCAGGCCTCAGCAGAAGGCCTGTTTAACCTTTACCAAAAAGCACCTATCCCCAAAACATTAATTAGTCATTCAAGTTAAGAGAATGTAACAAAAACACCTCAAAGTGTTTTGAACAGCAGGCAGCTGCCATGGAAGCCATGGAAACACCAGCCCATGAGGTGTTCCCCTTGCTCCAGCTCGTCTGGCCAGAGTCTGAACTCACAGAAACTGTGGAGATGCAAGGAAGCTCTATAAATCACTAGGTGCCCCGCAGGTACAAGGAGACAGTTACCTTTGCAAAGGCCAGCTGTTGCTGCTGACATGTGTGGGGCAGAAGCAACTGCTAGGCTGGGGGATGCAGGAGTTGTGGGATACTGGAGGGGCTGCTAGGATACTAGGAGGGAGGAATGGTTGCTAGGTTACTGGCATGGGAAGTGAGGGGGCTAGGTTGCTAGGATGCTCGATGAGAACCCTTAGACTGGCAGGGTGGAGGTGGGAGACACAGGACACTGAAGTTAAAAGTCTGCTGGCCACAGAGGCATCCCAGAACAGCAGATGCTGCTCCTCTGCCCTGGCACGAAGAGAGATATGGGAAGCGGTGTGGGGGGAAGGGAGGAAGATGCCCTTATTTATGGAAATGAAACATTTTCTAGATTATTTTAGGCAGTTGTAGAAACTTATTTCTCCCCTCCAGCTGGGAGGCTAGGAGACAAAAGGAGCTTTCAAGCAGGGAAATATGAAAAGAAACAGTGCCAAGTATGGGCTTCCAAGCTCACTAGGAAGTTCAAAACACATTTTGCAGACAGAATGTTGTATGATTTGAATATATAATAGCAATGAAAAAAAGGGAAAGGGGGGAGACTGTGGCTACGTGATCAGCAGGGATCCTGGTTTTCTCTGATTTAAAAAAAACCTAATTTTCAGTTAGAAAAAAGTAACCCCAAATCCACATTTTTCCATGATTTAAATGAAACACCACGAGAGAGAGAGAGAGAGAGAGAGAGAGACCAAATTCCTAGGGCACAGCATCTAGGCTGCCAGACTAGAAGGGAGTGCAGTTTGAGTTGCAGCACTAGGGTTCTACATCCCCATCACAGCCAGAGAAAAAGGCCTCCCTTGGCCACTACAGAACTGCTGCGTTTCCTGGCTTCTGCTGATGTAGTTTAGATTCAGTCTCTCCTTGGGGGACCTTAACTGAGCAGTCTGTTGATCCCAGGAGGCCTGCACTCACATTTAGACTTCCTCTGGGGATATGGACTTGATCTGTGACAAGCTCATTAGAAGTCCATGGGGGAGGCTTGTGCTGGCCTGGACTGCCAGAGACCCAAGCTGAATCCCCTGCTACAGACTTCCTGTAGGACTTTATTAGGCAAGTCATTTGGTCTCTATAAATGGGGATAATAGCACTGCACTGCCTCATGGAGGTGGGGCAAAGGTAAGGCAAGTCTCTCAGCCAGATGGAAAGGCCCAAGCTCTCCCTCAGCCTGGGTGACAGCTGCCTGGCCAGCTGGCCTGTTATTTTTGAGTTTTGCCTCTCATGTATTTGCTGCTTCAGCTACACTTTGTGTGCAGTAATGAGGCCATCTAGTGGTCAGCTAAGTTAATGAAACACTGTTCCCCGCAGCTCAGAGCATCTTCCACCCACACACATTCTGGACCGAAATACACGGGGCCCAATTTGGTCCTCAGTTAACCAGTAAACCCCACTCAGACTATGATCCTCCTGCACAGATAATTGAGGAAGAGGGAATCTACTGCCCCCAACTTGCAGCAATCAGCTGCAAGGGACAGAATGCCCCAAAGGTCAAGATCTGTACAAGGAGAAAGGAGGCTGGACGGCTGAACACCTCCTATTTAACTATTTCCACCCAGCCAGAGGTAGCTCCTGTATGGAGCCCTGCAGTATGACCTTACCAGGCAGGGCTGGGTGCAGCAGTTGGGGAAGGGGCAACATTACACTAACAGACCTATACATGCTGACAAAACCCTCTCCTACAAAACACAGCAGACTACTGTCTGGGGTGGAGGAGTGGGGAGACAGAAGGCCTGATAAGCAAACCCCTCCTCTGAGCTACCCAGGATGAATGCCCTTCCAGGATTATGTTTCAGCAATGCCCATTACTGTACCAGCTCAGCCCCTAGTACCAGAGCCCCAAGACCCCTGCAAAATAACACAGCTCAACTTGCAATAGATAAGCCAGGTGTTTACACACTACCTGCTCGCTCCTATGCCAGCCCAGCTGCCACCCGGGAAGGACAGACAGCCCCTCTCCTCATCCCTATGGATCACAAAGGGTTCCTAAGCCCCAGGGATATAACAAGTTCCCAGGCTCCCATTCAGGCAAATACCAAGGACTTCCACAGACAATAGAAGGCTGTGTCTGGCTGGGAGAAGCCTGCAACCTAGTGGTTTATGTCAGAACTACACATACAAGCAAAAGGAGCAAGGACTCCACGACCAAATGCAGAGTCCTGGCATCTTAAAAGCACAGTGAGCAGGACGGTTGTGGGCACCACTTAACCACTGGGGCCAGAAGCTGTACTTTTTTCTGAAGTTAAATAACTTTCCTCCCTCTCCACCCTGCACATATCTCAAACCAGCAGGGAACTCCCAGATCTGGATCCTCCTGGTTGAATCCACGCTGAGCCCTGAAACTCCTGTACCCAGCCAGCCACACCTGGAGAGAAGAGCTTACAGCCAGGCTTGGGTGGGGTGCACAGTCAAAGGATCTGAAATGCTGGTAAAGTGCCAGATGGTCATTCCTGGTCTTGCAGGAGTATCTGAGAGTCTCAGCTCCTCAGGCTCTAAGGTAGGATGGAGAGAGAGGGTGTCCTAGGTCTGCAGCTGGTCCACTTGTTCAGCAGACAGCAGGGGCTGGGGTGTGACAGCTCCTCCCTCCCCTTGCATGGAGATTCCACCCCAGTCCATGTAGGGATGGGGTCCAGGACTCCACTGCCTTGGCTGAGCTGGACTGGGCTGGCAGCCATGTGGCAGAGGCTGCCTCCCCACCCTACCATACCTGTGTGTATCCTCCTGTGTGCTTTGAGGTGGGAGCTTTTCGTGTAGACCTTATTGCAGCCCTCGAAGTCGCATTGGTGAATTCGCCTCTTCTTCAGGTCTGGGGATTCTGCTCGCTGCATCCGGGCCACTGCTGACCTACCAGGGGAATACAGGACTATCACCCTATGCCAGATCCCATCCTTCTCCCAGACAGGCAGACAACCCCTCCCCCGTGGCATATTAGATCTCATTCAGGAAAAACAGAGAATACCTTCTCCAGTTGCCAGGGCTGGCCTGCCCCACCCCAGCCAGAGCTCTGCTCTCTGATGACACCAGCCCAAGCACCCTGGACAGCCAATTAAATATGATGGGAGAGAGAAACCAGACTACCCCCCAACACATAGTGTGACCATGGATTGGCCTGCCTTGGGATAATGAGACCCAAGTGCTGTTACAACTGTACAGTTTGGCAATGGGTTTGGCCACTGCAGGGTCCTGGCACAGTGGTGACCAGTTCCATAGGCAGCTTTGGTACTCCAACCCCTTTGCAGGACTCCTGTCCCAATCCACCGCTGCCACCTACGCCATCCACCCAGAGGCAAGCCTGCCCCAGCCACAGTGAAAAAACTGCTGCCACTCACTCTCGCTGTAGGTCCTGGAAGGGAGCTGAGCTACTCTCCTCTGTGCCGCTGTCTTCACTGTCACTGTTCATTTCCATGGGGTACATAGAACTGGGGTCAATTTTCACTGGGGGAGGAAACAGAAAGCCCTTGAAAACAGGGCAGGCAGAAAGAGCAGTGTCCCGAGGGAGCACAGCCACAACATAGCATCCTTCCCCGGTCCAGCACCCACAGGGCCCCTTCCCTCCACAAGGTGTACAGTTGCCAGAACCCCCACCCCCCTACCTCTGCCTCTGGACACTCCCTTCCCACACCAGTCCCAGTGCGCCCTCCCCCTGCCAACTCCCCCATCCTTGGGCACTCTCTCCCCATTCACCCCTCAAACCACACAGCTCTAACATGACCCAGGGCTGCAGGGGTAGGGTCAAGGGATGCCACAAGGCAGTATCTGGCTGCAGAACCAGATGTGGCCCAGACTCCTAGGCAGGTTCCTGCTGCCATTATGGGCATGATGGGCAGGGAGCCACATCACAGCCCCATGGCCCATCACTCCCCTAATAGCTGTCAGTAACATGGACAAAACAGGAGCTGGAAACCTGCCTTCTCCAGCCCTTTGGCCAGTGACATGGGTGGAAGCCATGTTGCTGCTGGGGGTGGTTAAAGGGTGCAACTGTCCTGTCCTGATCCCTCCTCCCCCCATGCTGACAGGGCAGGGGCCATGAGGCCACCCTCCAACCTGGGCTCTACTCTTCTGCCTACCAGCACTGCAGCAGCCCATCCAAGGTCAGAAGAGCTGACTGCTCTGCCCGGTGGGAGTGGGCTCCAGCAGCTCAGAGCCCATGGAAGCCAGGGTGCAGGTCTGTGCTCCCAAGGGAGAGAGGGAACAGCATGGGCCCAGAACACGGCTCAGAGCTGTAGGTAGGCTGGAGGACCACTGGCCACCCCCCACGGGGACCTGATCATGACCTAAGCACAATGCCTGGTTCAGCTCATCAGCTGGCAGAGCAGATGGCGCTCAGGAGATCTGGCAGCCTGGCCAGGGCTGGGCCCCAGAACTCAGACCCAGACACAAGCCGCACCCACATGGCTCTGGTCAAGGATCTGACCCCACCCCCATCCTTCCCCCACCCCAGCCTGTGGCCTGGCCGATGGTGCTGCCAGGTCAGGGAGGCTCCTCCCTCCTCCTCCCCTGCAGCAGAGCCCTGGTCATCTCAGCTGTGCACCCTCCCCTATCAGGACGCCCCCCTCCTCCCTCCAGCCCCGACTTCCAGATTTGACCCCAGCCAGCAGGGAACCAGCCAGGGCCTCTGGCAGGAAGCGCCTGGGAGTTCTCGGCTCGCAGGATGGGAGGCAGGAAGCCTGCGGCGGGTGGGGCGGGGGGAGCCAGTCTAACTGGAACCAGAGCAGCCTTGGAGCCGGAGGGGGGACTGGCAGGGGAGGTCAGGACCCCACCCCGCTGGGGGGGGCGGCAGCCTGCCAGCTCCCCCCACCCGCTCCCAGCGGGATGGAGGGCAGACAGCCAGCCTCCTCCCCTCCTGACGCACAGCCACTCGATCGACCGCAGAGCCAGCCTGGCTCCCCAGCACTCAGGCCCCAGCCCCTCCCCTCACATAGCCACCAGGGCAGGGAGCCTCCGCCCTGGCATGCAGCTCCAGGCAGCGTGAGAGACAGACCAGTCTGGAGCTGGCGCCCGAGCTCAGACACCCTGACAACAGGCGCAGCATGAGGGCCAGAAGGGGATGGGTGGTGCGGGGTGGATCACGGGGGCTTGTGAACCCACAGGCCTCTGCCTCAGCCCTGCACCCAGCCACACTGACCAGACCCCCTCCACAAAAGGGCAGGTCTTTAGGAGGGGATGCAAGTTGGGGGGCACAGAGCTGTGCCTCACTGCTCCAGGATCTGAGCCCTCTCTCCTGCACCCCACTGAGAACCGCCCCCCACCCCACTGAGCCCCAAGTGCCCACCTCAGTGCACCCCCTCCCCATGAAAGGAATCCAGCCCCTCTCTCTCCAACACCTTGCTTCTGGACACCTGGGTTCACAGGGGCCAACTGGGAACCTGGGGCATCCCAGTCAGGCTGCCCCAGGTTCCCAGTCAGAGGCTCTGTCTGCAGGCTAAGCTGCAAGCCTGACTCTGTGCTCTTGGGGAGCACGCCCAGCCCTCCCTCCCTGCCACACTCCCCAGACAGGCATTGAGCCCCACCCCTGCCCTTCCTGGCAGCAGCTTCTCTCAACAGCTGCCACAGGAGAGCAGCGAGGAAAGCAGATCCTTCCCAGCCCAGTCCCATGCCCCCAGGCCCCTACTTATGCCAGCTTGGAGTCCGCAGCTGAGAACCCCTTTCAGCAGCTCGGGCTGCAGCTTTGCAGGGGTAGATTCCTGTGCACACACAGGAAGGGGGTTTGGACTGCAGAATGGGGGTGGGGGACAGGGAGCAGAGCTGGGAAGAGGGCAGGAGGGCAAGGAATGACAGGGTCAAAGAAGCAGGAAACCTCTGATGTAAAAGCTTGGAACAGACCAAGGAAATTGCAGGGGCCTTGGAAACAGAGTAGGTGACCCCTCAGCACCTGAGCTCATGGTTCAGCCTGCTGCAAACAGCATCCAAGGCAGAGTTCTCCCAGCCTGGCCCCACACAGGCATGCAGGGCACTGGGCAGAGGGGCCAGCCCTGGGCCCCAGCAACACCCCGTCTGCTCCAAGCACAGCTGGCATTCACAGGGCAGGAGCTGAGAAGCCTGTCCTCCTGCCACGACCAGGCTGCAACATGCAATTAGCTGCCCAGCCCCATCTGGCTGCATCCAAGGACCAGCTGTAATTCATGGGTGGCTCCCTGGTGTGAACTCAGAACCCATCAAGAACAAGGGGATGGGTCCACCGCCATCACAAGGCAACACTAGTGGTCAGAAGACCCACAAACAAGAGAGGCATTTCTCTGGCAAAGGCAGGGCAGGGCTTTTGCCTACTGGGAGGCACACGGTGCCTGCCTGCAGCAGCAGTACCAGCACGCCAGGCTTCCTCCCACACCCAGCCAGATGAGACAGGCTCCATGGGACTGGACAGGCTCCGTCACGCTCTGGGAGTTGAGCCAACAGGACGATTATGGAGCCTGGGCTTGGCTGGTCTCATGATGCTGCTGGCCCTGGTGAGAGGTACCAGATGAAGAGCCCGGCAGATCAAAAGGCCTCTCAGCCATGGAACTGGGTCAGCAGAAGGCCAAGCTTCCCTCCTCACCAGATTCCTGTTAACATGCCTCAGCCCTGCTCAGGAAGGTCCTACCTCTAGGCTTTCAGCTTTCAGTCAGCCTGGCCCCCTCCAGCCCCGAGAACCCTCTCCCTGCCTGCTCCCCAACAGCTTTGTTTATATGCCCCCAAAATCCTGATTTGCAGTCCCCAACTGATCCTCATTCCAACCATCCTGCCCAAACAAAACTCTGCTGATGGCCCCACCCTGAAGCCACAGCCTCCCCTGCTATGCCCAGGCCCTGAAGGGAAACAAGCCTTACCAGACCCAGCGTTCTTGCCGTCACCCCCAATGAGTGGCACAGTGATGGCAGCAGTAACCCCATCTGTGGGCATGGTGGTATAGACCACAGGCAGGGACTGCACCACCACAGGGATGGTCTGCAGGTTGCCCATCTTGCTGGGCAGGTTGACAGAAGGAATGGTGTGGATGACGTGGAGGATCTGCTGCCCGCCGCTACCCTGCGTGGACGCCAGGATGGAGCCCGGGGACAGCACGGCAGGGATGGCCGACGTGGACGACAGGCCCGTGGATGACAGGCCCGTGGACGACAGGCCCGTGGACGACAGGCCCGTGGACGACATAGACACCACTGGTGTCTGGATGGGTGGTGTCACCAGCATGGGTGAGGACCTGATACAGGAAGACACCTGGGAAGAGGACTGCAGCGACCCCTTGGACTTGTTGAGCGACAGGTCCACAGGCTCAGCCTGGGGCTGGTTGCAGTCACTGGCCAGCAGCTCTTCAGGGGGCTCAGTCTTGATGTCTGTCAGCAGCACTGGTGGCTCCAAGGAGTTCTCCTCCAGCAGCGACGAGGAGCTCATCTTGGGCAGCACCTTACTCTGAATTGAGCCTGCGGCCTGCAAAGCAAAGGCATCAACTATGAGGGACAGCCTCCTTCACTGGGGGACACTGAAGAGACAGGGGCAGGGAGAGGCAGGAGACCCCTCCTGGCAGATGGGAAACTGAGGCATGGAAAGGAGAAGCACCTTGCGCTAAACCACCCAGCAGCAGAATTTGGATGTCCAGATTCCCACCATACCCTATGCATTAAAACCCACTGCCCAGCTTGGCAGGCCCAAACCCTTCACACAGCCTATGGGCCCCTGGGCTAATGAGAAGTCTTTCCAGTATAACACTGGGTTAGTCACTGACAAGCACTTGGGGTCAGAGGCAGGAGGAAGGGAGACTGAGCTGGAACCAACTGCTTATCTCTGATCACAGGAGACAGAAGGGATGAGACTCTTGCACACAATCTTTCCCACATTGCAGCAATCCCTGCATCCCTCTAGCACCTGACTCTCTAGGTCCTTTCATGGGCTTTTGGCTCTGCAGAAACAAAGGCAGTGGCAAAGACCACTCCTCGCCCCCAGAGATTAGAGAAACGCAGCGCAAAGAGATGAAAACCTGTGGTCACAGATTAAATTCCTGGAAAAACTGAAGCAGAACCTAGGAGTCCTGCCTCCCCACCCTGTGCTTAGGTCAAGCCTCCCCCACTGCATGAGCTCTTATGTGCCACATATTACGAGGACAAAGCCAGAGGCCCAGCTCTCTACATTATCCCCTCAATAGGTCACCTCATAGGAAGATAATGTAAAGTCCTCCACCCATAACAGGCCCTCTCTGGCCAAGTTGGATTGGTCATATTCCTTTCTGACCTGCATTAAAGAGGTTTTTTTTGGCTCAGGGGGGTGCAAGGGCCAACCAGAGGTAATGCTCTTCTAGACCTGGTCCTAGCCAAAGGAGACGACCTGGTGACCACCTTAAACATAGAGGGCAACCTAGGCGACAGCAACCATGAAACCATCACGTTCACTGTCCATCACAAGGCAGACAAACTAGATAGCAGAACTGAAGTTTTGGACTTCAAAAATGCAAATTTCAACAAGTTCAGGTCATTAGTAGAAGTGCTGTGGGACTAGGGACTGAAGGCAAAAGGAGTACATGCAGAGTGGTCATTCCTTAAGGACACGATCCTTGAAGCGCAAAGGAAGTCCATTCCCATGCAGAGGGAATGTCACAAGAGAGCTAGGAAACCCTCTTGGCAGGCAAAACAGGGAAATCATGGTCCTCTTAAGAAAGAAGAAAGAGGTGTACAAGCAATGGAAGCTTGGGACTATACAATAATGGCCCGCATTTGTAGGGAACACATCAGAAGGGCTGAGGCGGCAACTGAACTAAAATTAGCAACCAGGATCAAGGACAACAAGAAGTCCTTCTTTAGGTACATAGGAATCAGGAGGAAAACAAATGGGAGTGTGGGGGCACTGCTCAATAACTAACGATTGGTTACTGGTACTCAGGAGAAAACTGAACTCCTGTATTTCACCTGGGCAAGGGGAAAAATCACTCCAGCTAGGGTACAGAATGACCAGGGTTCAAATGACTGCCTTCCTACTATTGCTGTAGAACTGACGTATAATCAATTAAAAAAAATAGACATAAGTCAGCAGGACCAGATGAACTTCATCTGAGGGTACTGAAAAAGCTGGCTGAAGTCAAAGCAGAACCTCTGGCGAAGCTCTTCCAAACCTTGTGGCACTCTGGAGAGGTCCCTGACGACTGGAAGAGGGCCAATGTTTTGTATCCATCCTCAAGAAGGGGAGGGAGGACCCAGGTAACTATAGGCCAGTTAGCCTAACTTCTATCCCAGGGAAAATCCTGAAAAAATTCATCAAGGAGTCTATATGGGATGGGCTTACAGAAGGCAGGATTCTAAAAGACAGCCAGCATGGCTTTGTAGTGGGCAGGTCTTGTCTTACCAACCTCATCTCCTTTTACAATCAGGTAACTCACCACCTGGATAAGAGAGAGGAGGGTGACATTGTATACCTTGACTTCCAAAAAGCTTTTGATTTGGTATCCCACGATGTTCTCATGAGGAAACTGGAAGATTGTGGGCTTAGCTGCGAGATAGTCAGGTGTGTAGGAAGCTGGCTGTGGGGTAGGACCCAGAGAATTCTACTGATCGGACCTGTGTCATCTTTGCAAGAAGTGGCCAGTGGTGTCCCTCAGGTGTCGGTGCTTGGCCCAGTGCTTTTTAACATCTTCATCAATGATTTGCATGGGGTGAAGACTTCACTGGCCACATTCATGGATGACACCAAGTTATGGGGAAGCATGGTCATGCTTGAAGATAGGCTGAAGATACAGGCAGACCTAGGCAGGCTAGCAAGTTGAGCAGATCAGAACCAGATGAAGTTTAACATCAAGAAATATAAAGTGCTTCAACCTGGGGACGAACAACCCTCTGCTCACCTACAGGCTTGGCAACGCCAATCTGACAAGCACTATGAATGAAAGAGACCTGGGGGTAATAATTGACCAGTTTGAACATGAGCCAGCAGTGCGATGCTGTAGCCAGCAGGGCAAATAATACTCTGGCATGCATCAATCGATGCATCTCCAGCAAAACCAAGGAAGTAATTCTTCCACTCTACTCGGCATTGATGAGACTGCAGATGGGGTATTGCGTACGGTTCTGGGGACCGCACTTCAACAAGGACAGGGAAAAGCTCAAGAGAGTCCAGAGAAGGGCCATCCGTATGACCAGAGACTTCCACGGCAAGGCATACAAGGAAAGGCTGAGGGATCCTGGACTCTTCAGCCTGAAAAAGAGACGGATGAGAGGGGACTTGGTAGCAGCTTACCGCCCAGAGACTTCCACGGCAAGGCATACAAGGAAAGGCTGAGGGATCCTGGACTCTTCAGCCTGAAAAAGAGACGGATGAGAGGGGACTTGGTAGCAGCTTACCGCTACATCAGGGGCATACATCAAGGGCTCGGTGAACAACTGCTCACCAGGGCACCCTTGGGGAAAACCAAGAGCAATGGTCACAAACTTCTAAAACACTGTTTCAGGCTCAACATTAGGAAAAACTTCTTCACAGCTAGGGTGTCCAGACTGTGGAATAAGCTGAGGTGGTGCAATTGCCTACCCTGGAAATCTTCAAGAGGAGACTGGACGGTCACCTTGCTGGCGTCACCTGACCCCAGTTATCTTTCCTGCTTGGTGCAGGGGGCTGGACCCGATAATCTTCCAAGGTCCCTTCTGGCCTTGCAATCTATGAATCTGTGAATCCTGGTGCATCTTTGAAGGGACTCCCTAGTGCCTCATGGTCAGGAGAGAGAAGTATCATAAACATGTGTCCCACCCCTACCCCCATACAGGCAGCATGAAACAAGTCAGGCTTGAGCATAATATATTAATTCCAACTATGACATAAACATTCTTTGCAGTTTCAATGAAGAGAAACTCTCTTCACCACCACTGATCCAATGGTACAGTCCTCTCACAGCACCCAGCTATTGGCCAATCAAGATTCACATCTGCATTCATAAACTGGACAATGGGACAAGGGAGTCACCCAAGAGGTATGAGTTGGGGGGGAAATCTTACCTAGTGGAGGGGCTGGAAAGGGAGAGACCCTGGGATCAGGCCCATTTTTGAAGGAGGAGCCATGCAAGTAAGCTGGGAAGTTTGCAGTCAAAGCTCCTCGCTACTGGGGCTTTCAAGGGCCAGTGGGGAATCTGGAAGATACTGTCAGATATGGAGGACAAATGCTACTTATCTGAGTTTGCAAAAGAAGGTGGGTGGATTAGTTACACCTGCAACCAGAAGCTCCTGGATGGGCCAAGTCCCTAGTGTGCCTGGCCATTTGTTTTGGATGTCACAGAGGAGACAACAGATTGTGGGGGGAACTGAAGCTCTGAAGTTCTCAGCTCTGAGAATAGTGTGCTGGGCATGCTCACCAGAGCTGTAGTCCCGGAGCGCACCCCCGCTCCAGAACAGCTCAAATCTCCAGCCAAACCTGCTTCAGGGAACTGAAGTGGCCCCACTTCCTCCTCTGTCCTAGAACAAGAATCTCCTTTAATTCTCCTTTTATACAGGGCATCCCAAAGGACCCTATTATACCTACTGAAACAGTGGCAGCCACTTCTGGGGAAGAGGATGGCAGCCATGGTGAACACAGCAAAAGGGAGGGAGATTGAGAATGGAAACATTAAACTCAGGAGATTAAGACAAACCCGGTAAGCAAGCAGAGTGCAGTGGCAATCTTCACACCCAAGCAGAGCAAGGACTTAGGTTACAAAACTCTCATTTAAAAGACACACCCAGCCCAGCAATACTGCAGGGAACTCCATTTATATCCACATAGAGGCTGCTGGAGCTAACTGGAGCCTGCCAGCAGAGTCTGCATTTCTAAGGAACCCAAGAAGCTTAAACACAATCATTAGACCATGAAGCCACCCTACCACTGGGAAGTCTGTAATCAGCCAGGATCCTAGATTTCTCTGATAAAATATATATATATATATCCCCAATTTTCGGATAAAAGAAAGTAACCCAAAATCCACATTTTTCTGTGATTAAAATGAAACACCACTAAGATAGATAGATAGATAGATAGATAGATAGATAGAGTAGTGTTTCATTTTAATCACAGAAAAATGTAGACTTTGAGTTACTTTTTTAATCTGAAAATTGGGGATTTTTTTTTTTTTTTTTAATCAGAGAAAACCAGGGTCCTTGTTAATCAGGAACTGGAAACCCATCTGATCCTGACAAGTCAGCTGTCTGAATGTGGAAGGCTTTTAAATGCAAGGACATGGAAAGATGGTTTTGAAACCCTCTGCCAACAGTTCTCTGTATCTGATCCTGAGTGATGCTGGGATAACTGCTCCCAGCAACCTCAAACCATGAGCCTTTGGGATTAGGATATAATCTCTGCAAGGTTTAACCTCGCTGGAGACCAACTGGTGAGGTGGTGGATTCTGTGGGTACTTATGGCCAGAAAAGCAGATCTGTTTCCCCTCTCTGCACAAACAAGCTACTATTCCTGCTCTCCCTGCAAAGCCC